CGGATCTGCTGCAGCACCCGGTTGAAGGCAGTGGGGCGCGCGGGGAGGTCGTGCAGGGACATGGCGTAGGAGACGCGGTGCATCTCCGGGGAGCGCTCCTTCTCGTCGGGGGAGTCGTGGTCGGACGCGCCGTGGTGGTGCGGCAGCGAGTCCTGGGAGTTCTGGTGCTCCCGCTCCCGCGACCGCCGGCGGCTGTGGAAAAGGTGCTTCAGGCCGTGGCCGAACATGGAGCCTTCAGACAGCTGCTGGATTTTCTGCAGGAGAGGAGAGAAAACAGTCCCCCCCTTACTGTTAGGAATGGACGGCATGGCCCTACCCAGCGGCACACCGCGCGCCCAGCCTCCATGCGATGTTTGCTTGTCTTTAGCATTGCCACTCTGTGCCCAGGGAGCGTCCGCTGGTGCGCGTCCCGCGGAGCGGAGGGGCACGCAAAGTGGCTCGGAGATGCACCTCCAACCCCTGTTACCTGCTCCAGAGAAAGGTCTCTGAGCTCTGGCTACGCCAGGAAGAAGCAAGAGAGGTAGGAAGGAAACACGAGTTGCATAAAAGCAATGCATGAAATGTACAGGAGAGGGTGCATCTTGGAGACGCCACCATGCGCAGGTCATGCGTTTGGGTATGCCATGCAATCTGCTTGAATACACCACAACCCTACGGACAGGGTGGGACAGAGCAGTATTTTCTGTACCTAGAAAAACTGTGGTTACTCCCAGCCTCAGAGATTCAGCCATTGATTCACTGCAAAGAGCTACCTGTTCTTGGAAACATGGAAGGTTTCCCCATGTGATTTTTTCCATGGCCTCCAAGAGCATCACACAACAGACTGGCCTTGCTTTACCAGGGTGAAACTGCACCTCATGGTCCAGTGCCACCAGTTCTGGGGATTGACTGGTCTTTAGCAGCACAGCAAAACAAACCTGCTTGTGGGACATCTAAGCTTGAAGTTCCTTCAGGGCAACTCCAGGTCTTCCTCTCAAGTGGCATTAAGACTGACTTCCTACAGAGTGCAGGGACTTTTAAAAAGACCGCTTTCTTGTGACTTGCTGTTGGGAATCAAGTGGCCACTAGCAGCGGCCACAGCGAAGTCATGCAATATGGATGCTGGAACAGATTGCTCTCTTGATTACAGCCAGGTAGACAGCACGGTTTCCCCGGAGTCATTGCAATGCCCAGATTTGCATCTATGAGAGATCCACGTTTGGCTGGCTGCCTTCTGCAATCCTCTGTTCACACTTACCTGCAAGGCAATAGCATGGACATGGATAGCATGGATTCTAGCATTTGATGGTCACTCAGTGACCACTGTGAAATGGGCTTGGTGGACTCAGTTCAGCTCCCAGCGGAGCACATCTCCTAGTCCATCACTGCTCCCAGACAGCAAGTAAACAGTGTCTTGGGACACCAGAAGATCCTCTCACCTCTGCAAGCAGCCTCAGCTATCGGGAACTCAGCAAATAACATGGTACCAGTTTGCTCTGTGCTGTTGCTGCTCCGTTTTGTAGTTAAACTAAGCACCCTATCTTCTAGGACTAAAATCCTAACCCTGTTGAACTTGAGGTGTTTCACCCTGATGTAGGGTGGCTGAGATTCTCCCCAGGGATGCTGATTTCCTGTATTGGCAACGCTGTGATTTATTCACGCTTGAAAACAAACGTGAAGTGGGCTCAGAACTGTGAACTACTTTCAGCCACGGTGTCACTCAGCAAAAGCCCTGATTTCTAGGAAAGGAGCTGTGCTTGAGACACGACCTCCAGGAGCTTCCAGATGGCTGGAGGATTTCATGTCCGTATGGGAAGGACTCCTCTTAAAAAGCCCAGACATTAGTACTACAGTGTCCAAATTCATTCAGGCCTAATTCTCATCACGCCTGTAATATTTACAAGGAATCAGGGTGCTAGTGATAGCACTTAGATCCTATGCCACTAAACACTGTAGGCAAAACCTTTAATCCTTTTGTTATCCATTCATAATGAAGAATTATAACCCTTTGGTTTTTCCCAAGAAACACGTAACAAATCTCTGGTGCTGAACTGCTACTCCAGGAAATTGTGATTTAAATTTTATTCTATTTATACAGTCTCTATGGAAACAGAGACAGTGTTAGATAGGTAATAACTATAAACCCACAGATTTCTACCATCAAGGGTACAACATAGGCTCAGATTCTTGCTTAGCCCTTCAGAAGGTCCAAGTGAAAGGAAAAGACCAACTCCCATCCTTAAGGATTACTAAACCAAAATAAAAGCAAAGCCTGCAAAAAAGGAAAAGATAGATTTATAGCAACATCTGCAGCAGGTGAGAGCCAGTCATTTTCCGTGGGTATTTGGCCTAACAGCTCAATCTGATAGAGATTTTTCTTTTTTTCCTTTTTTTTTTAAAAAAAAACCCTCCTCCTTGGGTCTTTTCCAGCTTTTCTGAAAGAACTGTTCATGGGCTTTGCAGATAGGGCTCCCAATGGGATTGTAAGAGATCTGCATGCAAGAAGGGAGAAGAGGAGCAGAAAGAGGAGACGCGGAATCATAGTACTGCTGTTCTGGGTATGATTGCACTAAATTTATGGCTTCTAAAACTAAAGACTTGTCTGCACTAAAGAATTGCATGAAGTGGTCACCATGGAACAAGCTATTCTGCAACAGTGATCACAGAAAATCTGCTGATGTGGGAACTGTTTTCTTGTGTTATTCTAGGATAATTAGTGCACTTCCAAAGCAGAGGCATTTTTCTGGAATGAAACTACCTCTACCTCACAACAGAGCATCTACACAGACTATTTTGGAACAGCCATTGCTTAATAACTGATGCAACAGATACGGAGGCTAATTTCTCTGTGCAGACAGCTGTAAAACACACAGGAATATCTTTATTTCTTGTGTCTTTTTAATTAACACAGCTAGGGTCTCCTGCTCATCGGCAGGGACTTGTTTCCGTGGACTTCAAACGAGCTACTTCTAGTTCACGTCCTCCTGTAAGTGGATCAGCCCTTAGTTATTACCGGCTTTGGCAGGGTCAAGTCAAAGGCGCAGAGTTTGCCTGAGCATCGTTCTGGGCTGGACATGGCAGCGCTCTCTACTTCCTCCTTACGCGTTTATCCACCGATGATCCTCTGCCCAGCTCTGCACAAAGCTCTCGAGGGCCGTGCTTTCAGCCCGCTGTGAAATGACAGCATGCTTTGAAACCTCCCTGTTCCTCACTAAAGGGGTTTCTAGCTCTCCAGCTGGCCCTGCTCCTGCACTGAAGCCTTGGGTTTCAGATGGACGAGGAGATCTTGTTGCTGTGACCTTATAGCACAGCTGCATGCCGCTAAGTCTCACTCTATTGTTGTTATTAATTATTTATATCCCAGATCTGCCCAGAGGCTCCAGCGAAGGCTTAGAGGGCCTTTGGAGGCACTGTACGGCCGTGAGGAGAGACCGTCCTGTCCGGTGGGACTGAGCAGGGATGAAAGCCAGAAGGGAAAACTTTTCCCTCCAACTTGAAGGCCAGCACATCAAACAGCTTGCACCTGGAGCAGAGCAGCAGCAGGAGAGGAGGCTCTCCTAGGCAGTCTCTAGCCCTCCTGCTGCTTTCTCAGCTAGGCTTCACTGGCAGCTGTTATGATGGCTTATTTCCTATGGGTCTTGCAGCAAGTGGGTCCTACCAGCAGCTCAGCAGCCAGGCTGGGAGGTTTTGGAGGCAGAATTATTCCTCCCAAGGTGGCAGATAGCCCAGGTGCACCCTTGCAGCCCATCTCACCCCAGGACTCCCGAGTCCCCATCACGCTGTGCAAAGTGTGTGGACCTGGTCCTCTCCTCCAGCTGCTACAAACGCCAAGCGAAATATATGAATAGTCTAACGTGGAAAATAAAGCACTCCCCCACATCCATTTCTCCTCTTGGGGCCAGGATGAGAGAACAAGCATGTGACAAACATTAGTCATACTGTTTAATGTGCTACCAAAATGCTATAGTGACATGGACCTTATTAAACCGTATCTGGAATAAAATCTGTGGCATCTGCAAGGATTACCCCGGAATTGTTCCAGCTAGGAGGGGACTGCGGCCCCCCTCGAGCTCCAGACCTGGAGCAGAGTTTGCACGTGCAAATCTTTGCTGCACTGCCCAGGGAGACTTTGCCCTCATCCCGGCTGCCAAGGGGCTCAGGGGCAGCTACCTGCCCCTGAGCTTTTGAGAAGTGATGTCCAGGGGAGATGATGGATGAAGCCGTTCCAGTGACCATGCGGTTCCTTTTTGAGCTGCTTGACAGCAGATACAGTCCGCTAACCACAGGGGATTCAGCTCACCTTGGCAATGTCCTTTTAAGACCAAAATATGCCTGGAAAATTGTTCGTGCGAGGGATTAAATATAAATGTACCTTAGGGTTTATAACGGGGACCGGTGACCTTTACAGGAGAGGAGGAGTCCTCCCCATCCTCTCCGAGGCAAGCCAGCCCATGCGGCTGCTGCCACGGCAAGTCCCCAAGGCTGCTTGTGGGTCTCCGCTCCCCAGACCCCTCATAGCGCTTCCAAAAATTAAAGTAGCTAAGGAAGGACTGCGGGCTTGACCCGCTACAGGTAAATGCTGCTGTGAGACCACTGCAGCCCTCCGGACACGCTGTCCCAGCCCCACTGCTCTGGACAGGGCCAGGCTGCACCGGCTCTGGGGCTGCGCGTCCTGCGGGGCTTCCCTGAGTGCCTCCTCTGGTCCCAGGAAAAAAGAAGGGCTCTGGATAGTGCCTCCATACTCATTGCTGGTCTTGGCTTTCAGGTTCAAAAGGAGGGAAAGGCAGGAGCCGCAAAGACTGAGATCATGACACCAGAGATGGACATTATGTCAGGCTTCAGCTTGCCACCCTTGTCAGATCAGCCCACTTGGGAGAAAAGAGAGACCGAGGGAAAACAGTCAGATCAGAGATGCGTGGGGAATGATGATCTAAGTGATAAATGCCTTTCTGGTGTAACACCACGGGACAGCCGGGCAGTCTCCAGAAGTAAAAGGCCTGGATGTTTCCTTCTGCAGTGTTTTGTATGGATCCAGCCACTCTGCTGCAGAGCGCAGGAAATCTCTGCCACCCAACATATTTTTAAGCAGAATTGTGTGTCATGCATCTGCTTTACTCCTTGCCAGAACTTTTTTTTTCTTTTTTTTTTTTCCTAATGGAGCAGTTGCTCATAGAAAAAAAGAGCTGAAATTGGGGCTGGCGAAAGGAAAGCTGCCATGTACTTGCCAGGGAGGACCTGCCCGGGTGAGGGGTTTGGAGACGACACAATGCAGCCT